TCTCCGCTAACAAATCTCGCGATCCAGTTCAGACCAGACCAGACTTGGATAGTTATAAAAATACAAAGAAACCAGACTAGACCAGTTCAGACTAGACCATACCAGCAAATTTCAGTCCAAGTAAAAACATCCTTAGTATACACACACTAATAAATAAAATGGTTACTCATAATATTTCAAATAAAAAAATACAAACTAACACACACACATATACACATAATAATACATAAAGTTATTAGTTGTAATTCTTCAATTAAAAATACACACACTAATACATATGTACCGTATAAGTGATATTGATCGAGATATTAAGATATCCTAAACCTAATACACATTTTTCGGCATTCATGTGTAATGATAAAGTGTGGAGTAGGCAAAGCCCAATATTTGTTTTTAAATATTAATATTATTATATCACTATCATATATAATATGTTTTTATACTCTCACTAGTCCAAGAGATCTTTTTGTGACCTAATTTCAAGTCTATTCTGCGAGTTTTATGTGCTAGAGAAAGCTAAACAGAGCGTGGAGGTATATGTCTCTACAAGAACCAATACTTTATTGGATAAAAGTATTGATTTTCTATGAGAATCTTGATATTTTTTTATAGTGAAGATACATTTTGTTTTTAAGTTTGCGCACGTTGCTTTACATTTTACATACAAGTCATGTTACTTTTCACAAAGTTTATAATGTTATGCATATCATACTTACTGACGGGTCTACCCGACCCAGTTCCGAGACCCGTTGGATCTGGGTCTGGATCCAAATTTTCAGACCCAACGGGTAAACGTGTCGGGTCTAAAACCATTAATAACTTAGTGACTCGGGTCTGGAACACTACATTCCGGCCCGGACCCGACCCGACCCATTGACAGGCCAACATGCCTAATTGCAACTTGCAAGGCTAGAAATATAGGTAGAAATAGGGCTGCACATCGGGCGGGTTGGGTCGGGTTTGCTATATTTTTTTGGCCTACCCGATTTGTTCGGGTTGTCTATTATTCAACCCGCGGTGCACACAATAAGTTGGTAACCCATGCATGAACGGGTCGGGTAGGGTCGGGTATTGAAAAAAAATCACTTCGGGTTGCATCTTTATGTGAGAGATTAATGTAACCAATTTAAAACTCGATTAACTTATTTTCAAAACACACAAACAAATACAAATACTCGTATCTTTTATAAGCAAAAACATTAGATAATAGTATTAAAACATCCTTCCGTAAAGGAAGATCATTTAGAAGGAAACATAAATATATAATAATCACCTAGTCAAAATGGTAAATGTTTAATTATAATTCTAGTATCATAAAGTCCTAGATAGAGCACATTGGTCTTAAATCGAAATTATCCAAGAAAACATTGTAGCATAATAATAGTAAAATGAACTTCGGCCGGGTCGGGTACTATCGGGTTGGAGATTTTAATTCCGCAATCCTACCCATTAGGTGCGGGTTCAATCATATTTAACCCATGAATATTTTTAAAAATCAAATACCCGATTAAATAGGGTCGGGTAGGGTTGGGTCGGGCAGGTTATGCGGGTTCGGGTTATTCTTGTGCAGCCCTAGGTAGAAAACTCCCTTTCTTTTTTAATAAAAAGAAGAAAGTAGATTAAGCTTTAAAATTGTAGTAGTAGTTGACTTTAATGAATGTTTGTATTATGTATATCTAAAATTAAAAGTTATTTTAATTAGATGCACGATAAGCAGTTCATCCTTAAGATTTATTAATGCACAATTGCACATCGGTTTGTAACACAAAAAAAACCTAAAACTCAAGAAGCAGTTCACCTTAGTTGGTCACCGACTCACTATCCCCTATGGCAGGTACCTAGGGATGGACCCGGGCCAATCCGGTTCCAGGCCAGGTCCGAGCGGGCGTTTTTTGCAAATCCTTGGGCCTGGAACCGGCCCGGGTTGATCCATCCCTACACGTACCGAGTTCAATTCCACCAACCCCCTCCCCCAACGCCCCTTGGTTCCAGTTCCGATCTGACCGGCGAGAGAGCCGGACCGAACTGCAACTGTGCGTGACCGGACTGCAACTGTGCAGGACCAGACTAGCCCGATGATCGGGAACCAGTTCCAGATAGGGTTGGACTCGGGCCGGGCTCGGGCCCTTCAAAAGGTGAACCAGCCCGGCCGGTTCGGGCCCAGGCTGAGCCAATTTTTTTTTTTTGAACTTTTTTTAAGTTTTTGGGTTGGGCTGGGTATTTTGGGCCATTTGAGGTGATTAGGGTTGGTTTGGGGGTGAGGGGGAGGGTTAGGGGTTAACTAGGAAAAGCCAAAAAAAAACAGAGGCCCGACCCGGCCCGGACCCGGGGGTTACCGGTCCATCCTTAGTTCCAGACATAGGACTAACCCGAGGGTTTTTTGGGGAAAGTTCCTGGGCTGAGTAAATAGGGACCAGCTCGGACGGTCCGGGTCTTGTTCGGGCTTTTTTCTTTTTGTTAATGTTTTTTAGGCTTTGGGCGGATGGGCTTATGGTAAGTGGGCTAGGCAGGGTGTTTTGGCGGGGTTTGGTTGGGGGTGGGGGTTGGAAACTTGGATTAAATAAGAAAAACTACAAAAAATTAAAAGAATCGGCCTGGCCCAGTACCAATTGATTCCCGAGCCGGTGCTAGGCTTCACCCTAGAAATCAAGCCTGCCCGGGCCCGACCAGAAACCGAACCGGGCCATCCCTTTTTGGAACATCTGTCTACAATGTTCAATTAATACGTTTATGGCACAAAACTATATGTATAGACTAAATACGAATTCCTGGGAGAAGTCTAGACAACCACACTCTAACACCCCTCTCAAAGTAAAGGCAAGTAGGCAACACACATTACAATTACTTAATATTTCAAAAGATTAAAAAGTATAACAATTGTTAACGCTGAAAAGTAACTCATAAAAATATGACTCCATAATAACTAAATAATTACATCCACATGTATCATGGATTTACTAATATTAACAAAAGAGACTTGCTCAAATTTAACTGACTTTAAAATATAAATATAAATATAAATATAACCGGTCAAGGTCTTTCACGTTAACTCATCATGCCACACCACCGTTCAAATCGATCATTGTCTTCCTAGATCGGTATCTGTACATGCGGAGAAACACTTGTAAGAAACACTTTATAAGCCACTACGAATCCACAAAAAAACATTTCACACGTGTCACATCTATGATAATTGTGAATAGATAAGCTTTGGCCATAAGTCTTAGCAGAATTGGCAAATATGTCCAAATGACTTCAAGCCTAATAACTTTCTCAAGGGAATCTATAAAAAAACTCTTTTCGAGTTGTCCCTAAAAAGATCTAAAAGAGTATCTTCTAATGTTTACTAATACATAATTAAAGATGATTAAAGTCAAAATTGTGTGTTTGCAAACGTGAAAGTCAAACTTTCTAAAAATTGTTTAAGCTTTCAAATGTGATCTCAAACTTTCTAAAAATTGTTTTTGGAAATGTTTTCTGGAGAGACCTCAAAATCTTTTCTAAAATAACTTGCTAAAAGAGATCTCAGTATTACTTAAGGCTGGTGATCTGTACTCAATGAAGTCATTCCGACAGTTCAGGGGAGCAACTCGCAGAGCATCAAAATTATTATTTATGATAACTCTTCGCGATTCTTTTTATGGTGACATTTGATTAAAACATCATTAAACAACTTAAAGTGACATAACTAACATGACCTTAAATATGCCAAAGAAGTAGTGGATCACAAGTTCAACAAATAAAACAACTAATCACACATTACCACAAGTACATATTATTATCTATTTTAAAAGCAATCATACTTCTTTCTTTTAGTTGAACAAGCCTGTACAGGTAGTGAACTTAAATGTTAAAACATGAACTCAAAATATTGAAGTAAGTGTGGCACCTTGGATAAGTGTTCAAGTAAGCACTGCTATTAATTAATGGTTGAAATTGTAAATTAGAAATTTCAAAAGTCAAAACATCCCTCTTCTTTTTAAAACAATGGTTCGAAGTCGGATGCCTCACCGCTATAGTGCAGGAGCTTAAAATATAAACCCTAAATCGAGGCTCTGCTCCCACAAATTCCAACACAAAAATTTCAAGAAATAAATTGTGCAGCCGTGCATATCATAGCCTCTCATGCAAGAATTATTTCATTTGAATGGCCATTGACAGATAAACCAAAAGCTTCATAAACCCAGAAAGACATCTGGAAATTGGTGATCCAAAGCTCGGAATAGTTCTCTTTAAACGGAGAGTATGCCATTTTGGGAAAGGAAAGAAGAAAGGAGCAACTGCTAGGAGGAATGTGACCAGCTTTTCAACGGGTTTAATAAAGGCTATGTGTATACAAACACATAAGTTTTAGTCTCTAAAAAATGTCAGTCGGGTCAAATTAACTTATTTGGGTCTCTAATGATCTTCAAAAAAAAAGTTCAGATCCAACTTAAAAGGATTCACCCTTTTAAGAATAAACCACTACTATGTAAAAATATACTATCCCCCGTTCCGTTTTAATCACAACATGTTGAATTTTACATTATTCATATGCTCTACTTTGACTACATTTTACGCTTTTATTTTAAGAAAACTTAACTATTTTTTTAAAAAAATATTGTTCACTTCATCTTATTACAAATTTTCAAAATCTGATTTTTAATACTACGTATTTTTTTACTAATAGAATTAAGATATAATTATGGTCAAAGACGTGCGTTGACAAATGTGAAATGTTGACCATTGCAACTAAAAAAGAACAGAGGGTTATATATTTATTCATTATAAATTATTAGATCTTACAGGTCAACGATGTTATCTGCCACAAACAAAATATGATGAAATAATAAATTACATCATTCATGAAAGTGGCCTAATTAGTGCATTAACAAAATGCAGTAATTAATATGAATATAACATGCCCTAAACAATCGGGGAGTCACGCACACATGTTTTCATTTTCTTATACATGCAAAGCATGTATAAAATTTCAATTTGCGAAGTGCTGAACAGGTGTAGCGCTTTATCATCCTCTAGGAAAAGGGTTATGGATAAGGCACAGGAGAAGCACAAGAAGCGCAAGCCTCTAGTATCCAGGTTGGGAAAGGCTTTTTGAGCTATTTTTCAATTTTCAAATAAGGTTTGGGCCTGCTATAACAAAACATATTTAGAATTAGATATATTTTATTCAAATAATAGGGAAACAACAATACAATCCAATCATCATGCAAAAATAGGTTAAGGCAAGACACTCAAATGGGCTACAACCTAACAAAAATCAATCTTTAGTCTTATGTTTACGTAATTACTTCTCAATTTATTTATTTTTGTTGTGAATCAAGACTTTGCTTTGGTGAAACATTTTTAAATGCATTTCATTCAATCTGATGTTACATATATCTTGTTTGATAATTCTAGAACGGTACACATAATAACTGGAATGCATGTTCGGCAATATTAATTGACCAACACATTCCAACGTTCCAACATATCTTATAAGTACTTTAATACCTTAAAAAGCAGATTGTATCCTTGGAATAAAACAAAAAATGCTATTGTGCATATTTTTTGTTGAGCATATTTTTCACTTGAGCATATTTTTCGAATACTTCCTCTGTTTTTTGTTGATATGTAGTGTTTCTGAGGTCTACTTTTATTTCCTATTTTCTAATTTGGCAAGCTTTGCCCTGAGTTTTATTCTTTACTTTACATAACATCTTTGGTACTCCTATTTTATATCTTTTTATTACGCTTTCTACTCTCTGGCCATACATGTGGTTAGGTAGGGGAGTACAAGATAATTCCTTCATGACAGAGGAAAGCATTCCCAAATACAGGGAAAATAACCTGAAATTATAATCAGAAGACTTACTTTACATTAGAGCATGTTTGCTCTTAGTGCTATGACTTTTGTTTCTTAGGGTCTGGTTCTTCAGATGGAGCAAAGAGTCTTTGCTCGATACTGGCCCACACTTCTCTAAATGATTTAGCCTAATTCAATGGAGAAACTTAGTGGATTAAAAATAGCAAAAATAGGGGTGGGGAAGCTGTACGACTTCAGCAAACCTGATTGAGTAAAGAATCAAGAAAATCTCCCAATTCACGGTGGCAAGGGATCTATACAAACATACTTAGGATTAGGTGCAATGAGAATGGCAATAATTACAAATCAGAAAGCAACATATTACCATTTCAGATTGTTCGTGAAACCTCTTTCTAATAGCAACCGGGGCACAACAAGTCTCCCAGATTGCTTCCATAGCGTCTTCAACCAAGTTTTTATATTCTTTACTTACTCCTCTCCCCACAAGCATTTTAATCTCTAGGCACATATCTTTAAATGGCAACTCTTTAAAAATCTATAATAGAGACATAATAAATACTCCAATCAGAGAAACAGCATGAACAAAGAATGATTGAATGGAATTAGTCAAGGCATAAGAATACTCCAACCAAGGTCACAGCGTGTATGCAAGGTGCGGCGTCAACGATCCGTCTTGTCACCTAGGTGACATCTAGGCATCAAGGAGACGTGTGATGTGATATGGTATGGTACAGCATGGTACGGTATGGTAAGATATCATTAGATATTATATGCTCCAAACAGAGACAACATAAGCAAAGAAGGAAAGAAACAAAATTGTTCACAAGTAGATATTCTAGCCTTCAATTGGTTGTCCAAGTGCCTCTTAGAGTGTGAAAGGTTCAGAGACATTTTTCCTTCTTCAGCAGATTTCCCATCTTGATCATCTTGATTTTCAAGCTCTTTCATCTTCTTGAGGATGTTATGCACAACATCCTCAAATTTGGTGGATTCGAACCACACAAACTGTCAAAAGAAAAGCCATAAAAGAACATGTATCATTTTAAGATAGATTTTAAGTAAAGCAAAGTTACAAACGCAATAAAGTGATAGAATGGTGTGAGGTAAGGTTCCATCGCATCATTGAAATGACTTTTATTTCTTAAAAGGAACAAAAGTACTTGATGGAGTATATGGGTCTAGGCCCCAGGACCCACAAGTCCAGGCCGCGTTGTCGGTCATCATCGCCGGCTTGGCTCAGAACCCCACCGTCCTCAGCGCACTCTTGCCAAGGACCGGGGGGAACGTCACTCCACCTCCTCAGCCCCAACCGTTGGCCGTCAGGTTGGGCAACGATGAGGGGGTGATGGCCCAGGACACGGCGTCATCCCACTCCCACCCCGCTTCCCCTCTTCGGCCTGGGCAGACCCCAGCGCGTGGAAAAGCCTCTGCCTTCAATAGGCTAGCTGACACGCGCTGTCGTCCGGTTTCGGAGAGGATGGCGGGGCGGATTGGTAAGCGTCGGCCTAGCTCGCCAAGAGAAAGATTGGGGTCTGTGTCCCGGACAGCGGACCAGCCCCGCCTGGACAATGGCAAGGGAAAGTTGCATGAGGACGACGTGCGCCACCAGATCAATGCGGCCAACGATGAGCGCATGAAGAACCAGCAGAGCACCGCTGCGGCCGCCAGGCATCCCTGGGACGAGGTCATCGCCCAGCTGGAAAGGAGGCTGGCCCATATGGAAGCCAGGCAATCGGCAAACGTCCCTACGGCCGGCGCCTCCAACGATCCTGGCCTCAACGCTCTCATGAACAAGGTCAGCGCCCTTGAGAGGGAGTTGGCCGAAGGGTGAGGTGACCCCGTCATCCAGGTCAGGACCAGGACCCCCTTCACTAACAGGGTGCTCTCGGCCCCCATCCCGGAGAAGTACAGGGGAAACGCCATCAAGTCCTACGACGGCCGATCAGACCCCCAGGAGCATTTCAGCCGCTACCAGAATAACATGCTGATGGTGAACGCGACAGACGAATATATCTGCCGTTGGTTCCTCTCCACTCTTGAGGGGCCGGCGTACGAGTGGTTCAACGCGCTTCTCGAAGGAAGTATTGACTCATGGCAAGACCTTGCCCAGCGCTTCCTCACCCACTTTGCCGGGAGGAAGTGTGCGAAGAAGTATTTCACCCATCTCCTCTCCGTCAAGCAGCAATATGACGAACCCCTCCGGTCATTCATTGATCGGTGGACGAGGGAGACCGAAGAGGTCGAGGGGGCCGATGAGCGCACCCTCCTCGTCCTATACCAGGGAGCCCTCCGCAGCTCCCCGTACGCCAGGAGCCTCATCACTGACCCTCCGAGGTCGTATGCAAAGGTGCTTCAGAGCGGGAGCTTGAACGCCGACGCCGACAAGCTCCAAAATCACAAAAAAGAGGGAGGCCATCCCTCCAAGAAGACAAATCCTTCGCCGGCCCCGGGACCATCCCCGGCCGGCCAGGGTGCCCAGGGCCGTCACGGCTCTGGTGGACAAAGCAAGAAAGACCGCCACTGGCGGCCGAGGTTAGAACGGCCGGGGGTCCCCCTCACCCACCCGGTCAGCACCATCCTCGACTACGCCGAGAAGCATGGCCTCATTGAGCAAGCTCCTCGGCCGGCCGAGGAGGTCCTTGCCATCCAGCAAGGCGGCACATACAGCCGATTTCACAAAAACTCCTCACACAACACCGACGACTGCATCACGCTGAAGAAAGCCATCGAGCGCCTTATTCATCAGGGGGAACTCTCCCAATTTGTTAAAGGTGGCCCGCGCAAAAATACGTGGGTAAACACCGGGAAACCTGGGGGCGAACCCTCTATGAAGAAGCGGGAGATCGGCAGGCTCAGCGACAACGAGGACTTTGAAGAGCCTCCGCCAAAAAAGAACCATATTCACCTCATCGTAGGTGGGAATACCGGGGGGACTCCGCAACCCAGAGGAAGAAATGGGCCCAATCCCTTTACATTAGGGAAGTGTCCCACGTTCCCCCCAACCGAAGAAGCAGCGAACGGAGGCGATCACCTTCACCGACAAAGATCTTTCTCCGGGTACGGAATCACACAGGGACGCCCTCGTCATCCGGTGTGAGATCGGTGACTCCATCATCCACCGCACTTACATCGATACGGGGAGCTCCGTCAACGTGATGTACCTGGACACCTTCAGGCAGGTGAAGATGGACAAAGCTCTGCTGAAGCCGATCAAGACACCGTTGTCCGGCTTCACTGAGGACTCTATCAACGCCGAGGGCACAATAGTCCTCCCCGTGGAGGTCGGCGACGGCCCCCACCGCGCCAAAATTGACATGGAGTTCATGGTGGTCAACCTCGAGTGCGCCCACAACCTGATCTTGGGGCAGCCAACACTGGAGGACTTGAGGGCCATCATCTCCATGAAACACTTGTGTCTGAAGTTCCCCACCAATGGCGGCATCGGCTACGCCAGAGGAAACCAGAGGATAGCCAGAGCATGCTACCTCAAGCTAACGAGGCCGGCCGAGAGGGAAGGACAGAGGATAGACACCATCACGGCAGCCACTGCCCAGGACGAGGAGAGACCGCATGCCGAACCGGCCGAGGAGGTCGAGGAAGTCCCTCTGAATACCTCCCGGCCGGAGCGGGTCCTCAAGATCGGGAAGCGACTCCCACAGCACCAGCGGGACACCATCCTCCTCGTCCTACGGTCATACTAGGGGTGCCGAGGGCTACTGTTTTCGCCGTTTTCTCCCAGTAACTTCGAGTGCTTAAAAGCAGTTGTTCTGTAAGTTTATGAGCCTTCGGCCATGGGGGCCGAAGGCATCCCAGTGTTCGTCGTGGGCTGTTTGGCACTTGGGGCGCTGTGATCTAGGCCTGTCGTGCTTCCTGGGCCTATTGGGCCTTCGTTATAGTAGTGGGAGTCTATGGGCCGGGGGTTCTTGGGCCATATACCTGATCAGGAGTCCCTCACTCCTTTTGCCGAAAGGTACTTGAGGTAAAAGGAGTAAAATGCGTTTGTCCTCTGATGCTGCCTTACTGTAGTTTGTAAACCTGTGAGAGATTTTGCGTTTGCACACGATTCTGCCGGGGCAGCCCTTCAGTCCCTCACATTTTGGGACTGAAGGGTGTTGATGCTTTGTGAGAATAATTTTTTAGCATTTTTTGATTTTCCCGGTTCCCGGAGAGGTTCTCTAGTCCCCCACTCCTTAAGGCAATTGTAAAGTGGTGAAAAGGAGTAGAGTGGTGTCTGCTGTTTGTACGGGGCCGAAGGTGGACACTTTTCATTTCATCTTGGGGGGATGCCTCGTTAAAAACCTCATTAGGAAAAACCCTATGGGAAAAAATCCTAATGAGGAAAAAGATTGCACCGAATTTCCCCAATGATGAATCGAAAAGGTGAAACCTTGGTCTGAGATGAAGGACAAAGTTGATGCCGAAGGCTACCATTGATCTGAGGGCATGTCTGTGGAGTTGCTAGAGGGGCTTCGTTGATATCCCGGAGGGTCTGCCGAGAGCATTCCTACGAAGGCATCCGTAATTGATAAGCATGAGCGAGCATCCCGGGGACTGCCGAGGGTAGTCCCCCAATCAATGAGGCTGAGGGCTTGTTCGTTGTTGACGAATGTCGGTGATCGTTCCTATGTGCTGAGGGGAGTCATGGTGTTTTAGCCGGAGGCTAGCCACTGATGAGGGGATCTGAAGGTGTTGCCCCGGGGGGACTCCCTAGTTCTCAATGTTTTGAGGGGCTTTTCCGTTGTTACCCCGGGGGCCCATATGACATGGGGTGTTTGAATGTGATGGACCGAGGGCCAGCCCCAATTTGTTGTGCGAAAGGTGCTGAAGGAGAAAGCCCGAATGCAAGTGTAATGTTGTATGAGGGGTACCGGCCGGGAGCACCTTTGTGTTTCTAAAATATAGCCGTTGTGATAAGACCGTTGGAATAAGGAACGTTGAAAATGTAGCCGTTGGAGGTGATGTCCACGTGGCGTGTAGTTGTTGGCTAGCTTCAGGCGGGTATCACTGGTTGGCGGAAGGGGGCGGCGTGTAATGATGACTTTCCATCGGGGGCCCGGTTTCTTGGCCCAAGCCCGGAGTGGGAAGCCTATAAATACCCCAAGGCCAAGGCCATTCTTCTTGCGCGATCATACTGTAGCGAAGCTCTGCCGAAATTTTTCTAGAGAGAGAAACCTGCTTTCGATCAAACTCCTATTTATGAGGTCAGTTCTCCATCTGTTCTTCGCCCTTTTAGTAAGTTTTGCTCTCCGGCCTTAGATTAGGTGTTAGAGCCCCATAGAAAGCCTTCGGTCTCTAAAAACCTCTACCCCTAGTTTCTGAAAAATAAAATGTCATCTGCAAGTGATTCCCAAAACGTCTCAAGGGAGCCCTCGGCTGAGGAGGAGGGTATTTCGGACGTCGAGTCTGCAAGCAGTCAGTCCTCGGGGAATGGTGATGCTTCCCTCGCTATGGAGGTCCAGAAGGAGTTAGTGGCCGAAGCTGAGGCGGAGGAGTTCGAACAAGTGGTGGAAGACGAGGAGATGGCCCTCGCCATGCAGACGGCCATTGAAGAGGAGGAGAAGGAGAGGGAGAGGATGAGGGTTACTACTGCGGTCCCCTCCCCTCGTAATGCTGGTGAGGCGAGTAGCTCTCGGCCGCTGAACCCAACTCCCCTCAGGGTAGCCCCCGGGAAGAAGAAGAAGACGAAGGCTCCCGCTCCCAAGAAGAAGGGTTGCATTGCTGATCAAGGAAAACCCATCGATCTGCCCGAGGGTTATTCCTTCCTTAACACCGCCACCCTCGATATAAAGTCGAAGGCTGACAGGGCGGAATTGTTGGTCCCGTTTGTAATGGGAACAGTCTAGAGGGGGGGTGAATAGACTGTTCAGGAATTTAAACTTTTCTCTAAGTCAAAACTGACTTATCAGAGATGGTCGAAATCTGGTGACAGAGATGGTCAGGTTCTGATGGCAGAACTAGACCAGGCAGCGGATAAGTTTCT